TCATGAGAAGGGTTGTTGAGCAGAAGAACTGAATGTGCTTTTGGTACTAATTGAAGTTTCAAAAGTTATGTTTGAGCAGAATAGAATGCAGAAGATGTAGAGCTGAGTGTGAAAATGCAGAAAAGATGACTAAATAGGCAAAATCTCCATTAAAATGACAGCTGCAACTGGTGAAAGCAAGAAATGTCTGGACAGTAGTAACAGTGGGCGAAAAGAAGAGGGAAGAAGATTGAAATCACAGTAAGAGGTTCTAAAAGAAAGATAGTAAAAGATAGAGAGAGACAAAGAAATTGAATGAATGGCATATGGTCAAAAGTATACTGAGAAGAGGTTTAGAAAGGGAGTGGAGATTGACAGAGGTAACACTATTAGCCTCGGATAAACTGTCCTCGAATATAGTTCAATCATCTCGGCATCCATATGTACACAAGAATGATTTGGATGGTAGGAAGAAGCTTTTTCTCTTTATTTTCTTTTTTATATAAATTCATCATCATTCTCTCTTGGTAAATCTTTCTCTCTCTCTCTCTCTCTCTCTCTCTCAATTGAGGTTTAGGCTTCCTTGTCTCCGTTTTCAGTGAAAAAAAGTGGAGAGAAAGAGATTGAGCATCAGAAAAGCTGTTGAAAAGGTAGATGAAAGTAATAGTAAGCTGAGATAAACTATTTGATGAATGACAAGTGATATGATAAGTGTTTGAGAGATAAACATTTGAATTTAACAGCAAGAACACAAATCTCCACCGAATAGGGAAGATGTTGTTTCATTTAAAAAACCAAACGACTGACATCATCGGATTTACATTTGATTCGCAAAAGACCAAAAAATTAAGGAAAATTTGCGATAATTCCTAAATAAACTGGCAGAAATGCGATTAAAGATGGACATTTCCTTCAGTTTATGGTCGAAGTTAACATTGTTTGTAAAGGTCTTCTGGTGCTTTTCTCAATTTTCAAGGAAAAAACTAAAAAACTTTGAAAAAAGCGTTGAATGAAGAAAAAAAATTTTTTTTCTTAACTATAAGATATTTTAAATTGAAACAAAGTGATTTTCAATCAAACAACTTCACGACGAGATCCAGATTTGATAGTGACAGAATGAAAACGGTGAAATATATGAATGACACGAAAGAAAACAAAAAAATATTTGGAAATTGTAGAAGATTGCACACATCGCATTTTCGACGATGATTATGACGGAGCTGACGAACGAGTGTCACAGCCCAAGGGATAATCTCAAATACAAATTTCAGAATGTATATCAATGACCAAAACAAGCATCTCGTATGTTTTTACAACAAAAATTATCTTATAACACCAGTTTATGAGAGAAAAGTTTTTCAAAAGAAACTTCTTGACATTGAGAGAAGTTAGGTTGAAGCGGAAGATGAAAGAGTCATTCCGTAGAACGTGGAAACTCACTTTACGAATTACTAAACGGTTTTTCATGACTAAAAAGAAGAGAGAAAAAACTTTTAATAAAGAAAGTTCATAGTCTGTCTTGAAAGTTATAGTAAAAATGAGAAATAAGTCTCAAATCTACAATTATTCCGCTTGCCTGAACGAATAGAAATCTGGGCAAGATTGGTTAGAAGTTGTGAGGAACATAGGATGCGAACATACAATCTCAGGCAAGTTATATACAAGAAAAGATAATATTCTGATCGCCGTAAGCCATCTGAGAAGATAATGAAGAGGAATATGAAGATGAAGGAAAAAAAAATCAGTCAGGCTGAGGCTAATTTGTGTTCGATCCGATGACCTATGTGTATGTGATATCTCAAATTTGTAAAACATTTGTGTAAAGAGAATCGATAGTGTCCATATCGAGTCAGACCATATTTATCTGAGAAATAAAAGAAAAGGAGGAAGAACGAAGATGTTGAAGAAGTGGCAGGATTTGTCCAAAAAAAAACGATATCGTGAGAAAAACGTGTGACTACGAAAGGAAAGCCGGAAAAGATGAAGTGAGAACGCGATTCTTCAATCATAAATCTGACGAAAGTTCGAAAAGAATGGACGAAAGGCGAAAAAAACAAATGAAAAATGTAATTTGTCATCACATTTCTCGTATTTTGATGTTTAATCTCTACTTATGAAGGTCAACAAAAAAAAGGAAGAAATTGATAAGATAATACAATATGTATTAACTATACGTATAGCATATAGTATATATACGTATAGTTATATATTTTAATTTGAGTCATTTTCTTTTACAAGTTGAAAATTGGAAATGTCGAAAATCGTGCGATAACGAAGACGACAATCATCTCATAGTCTATCTGGCGGCCAAGGCCGAAAACAAAGTGAAAAAAGAAAAAAAGGAACAACGAATGAACATGGAATAGAGGAAGATGACTGAATAAAGAGGGAAAAAGATGAATATCAGTCGTCATTTAAAGAAAGAAAAGGCTGTTGAAGTAAACGAGCGGGAGAGTGGAAGAGAGAAAGAGTTATGAACAACCGCTTTGTACGAAATGTTTGATAGAAATGAATACGAGTTACCACACTTTCAGTTGGTCAGTCAGATGAGCACGTATAACTCAAACGAAGTGTATTGTATTCAAACGTTGTAAAGAACGATACAAACGATGGAAAAGGGCTTTTCATTCCAAATATGAGTGAAGATAGATTAAGAAGAAACAAGATGATATTTTTTTTCTTTTTGACACTTCTGACACGAAATGAAAGGAATTTGTTGTTCCAGAACATTGAGTTCATTCGGTTGTCGTGCTGACCAAACAGATATAGCCTCTGTGAATAAATCTGGATATTTGAAAGTATTTTTAGTATTCAAATAGAAGCTGTCCCATGAATAGATTTGATAAGAATGACACAAGAAAATGAATTATTTTATTTAGCTATATCATGATGGGGACTTCTGATCGGTTTTCCTTCCATTAGGACGAGGATTAACGATAGAAAAAAACTTTTTTTCTTTCAGTTCCATTCGACAAACCGATGAAAGCTTAGAACATACTATCTGTCAAGAGAGTTTGGGAGAGATTAAGAGGGAAAAATGAGGCTAGGAGGTTGAAAAGGACGAAAAGAGGTCTGAATGCCATAAAATCTGCGGCATCAAGGTCTTAGATGAATTCGACAGAGAGGGTAAGAGAGATAGAGGGGGAGAAGACTGGGAAAACATCCAACATCTGCGCTTATTTATAACGAAATGAATCCAAAAAGATGACTAAAAATGAGAATATTCCGCTAATTGAGCTCAAATAACGTGATGAGAATTAAGGAACAAAATGGAGCTTTAGATCTATGAAATCCAATAAAAGTAGATCTATAAAGCAGTTTGGGTGGGCAACAGGCTTCTCACATTCACATCTAATGAGCCGAATGGGATAGGATGAAGAAGCTGAATAACTGACAATCCTTGTCTTCTGAAGTTAATGAAGACAATTCTGCGACTTTGGGAAATTGGTAGACTGAGATGAGGAGAAGCGGGGTTGTATGGTAAAGGAGAGAGAGAGAGAGAGAGGAAGAGATGATTAAAAATAAAAAGAGAAAATAGCTTCTCACAGCTTACTTACCAACCAGATTTCAGCATTTTGGCGCCTAATAATTTCTTCTTATTTAAAAAAGAATGAAGAACAATGAAGGAAATTCATTAAATGACTTACAAGACATCGAGAATAGAATCCATCAAACACTTCATTTGTCTCGTTTAATTCGAACAACAAAAAAAGAATTTCAAGCAGAAACTGTTTGTGCTTCATGGACATATGCTTATAGTCGTTTACTGATGAAAATCTCATAAAACGAATGTATTTTTCTAATAAATCTAGGTTAATCTAATTTGATGAATGTGATTGAAAGCCTGATCGACAGGTCATTCCACTGAAACAACCGTTTTGGCATTCAACAGCTGAGAATAACCTTTTTGTTTCTCTCACCCTCTCTCTATCTTTCTGTCACTCATCATGAATTGACAGAGCTCATTCTCCCTCCAGTTCATACAGAATAAGTTTTTTATTTATCGAAGATTAATGAGAGATGCTCTGTCTTCTTGTATGTTCTTCCAAGAATGGAAAGTTGAGATTTTTCATAGTTTCGGAGGATAATCCGATTTCTGATGTTCCCGTGATGAAGTAACCTCTGAATATCCGGTTTTTGTATGAAATAAATCAGCAATTTGTTCATTTACGGTTGTTCTGCTTCCAATTTTTGTTGTAAATTTGATTGTGTGTTGAACATCTAATGCAGATGTTCAGGTGATGGTGTTCCGTATTTTAATGACTAATAGCCATACGATTTAACGACTTTTGCCTCTTTCTTCTACTTTAAGTTGTTTCTTCTTTGTAAATGATAGAGAAACAGAAATAGGAAGAGGAACAGAAATACAGAGTTAGCAAGAGAGAGGGACAGAGAGTAGAGAGAAAGACTTCCGGCTGTAAAGGTAAAATGAAAAGACAGCTGGCTTTTATGGGAATAGAAGCTTTTCAGAAGAGTTTAACCTGCCCGAATCCAAAATTGATTGAAACTTCTACAGATGGGTCATTTTTCGATTCTTTTGATATTTAATTACTCGATAATATACGACCGAATATGGGAATAAAGGAGATAACCCATTAAATTCTGAATTTTACGACAACTGTCTGCCTTATGTCGTGAAAGCTGATGAGGTTTCATATATCTTATGAAGTGAGCATCTCTGGAAGGGAAAACCCTCTTCTTCGAAATAAGGTAAGCTGCATGAGATAATACTCTGATAGAAAGTGCAGCCAAAGATGTTTATTCAATAGATTTGCTGATATATTAAACAACAAGTAAATGAGTTGGAAACTGAAGTTTCTGTTTTATTTGCCAGATAGCTTCTGAGGGTTAATAGATGCGTTAAAGATCAAACAAAAAGCTCGAAGTATTCGATATAAGTAAAAGACTGGAATCAAGTGACAAACACGCCATTTTCCATTATTGACTTAAAAAATGATTTATTTGTGAAGTAAAAATACATAAAAGAGGGAGAACTTCTGTAGAAGCTCAAAGTCTTCAAAATGAGAGTTCTACTCATTCTAATTCTATTCACTTACTCATTAGTTTCCGCCAATAACTGTACTCAAGTTTCGATCAAGAATGGTGACACATGCTATAACTTATGGACGAATAATGGTATGACTAAGGAAACTTTCACTTCAGCCAACCCAACCTTAAACTGCCAAAACCTCCAAGTTGGACAAACTGTTTGTATTATTCCCGATCCACTTTTACCAGGACAATACCGTGATGACCCTAGTTCTTCTACATGCCAGAAACTATATTCAATTAAATCAGGAGATACTTGTCAAGCATTATGGCTATCCAACGCTCTTAATGAAACTGCTTTCATGTCTTCAAACCCAGGAATCAGTTGCAGAAATCTTCAAGTTGGTGAAAAAGTTTGTCTTCGTGGGTATCTTCCTGATACGACCAACCATCAATATGATCCCTATCAAACATCGGCACCTAGTGGAAGTATGAATCCTTCAACACAGCCATCTTATAGTAGTCCTACTCCCTACTACGATCCTTATCCAGCGAGGCTTCCATATTCTGGCGGAAACGTGCAGTCAAATACCAATTCAGCTAACTACATTCCACCTGCACAGTATCAACAATCTCAAAGTTCACCTCATAGTTCTCAGCTGATCAGTGCTCAACCACAACCATCGCATATTCAAACAGTTCCATACCAACAAGCTCAAACACAAACCTCAGACCAACAAACTTTGTACCAGCAAGTCCAATCTAGTCCACAGCAAATTTTCTATGAGCCTCAACAAACACTGTATCAGCCACAAGCTTCACAGTCTTCTTACCAACCACAGCCTTCTCAGTCATCCTACCAGACAGGCGTTCAACAAACTCAACAATCTCAGTATCATCCTCAAACTTCACAGCCTTATTACCAACCGCCAGTTCAACAAACTCAATACCAGCCGCCAGCTCAACAAACTCAATACCAGCCGTCAGTTCAACAAACTCAATACCAGCCTCAGGGCCCAAGCTCTCAGGTACAGTCGCAAGGACAGTTGCGAACTCAGCAGTTGCCTAACACGGCTCAACAAGTTCAATCTCCATCTCAAGTTCAGAATCAACCCTCGACCCAGCTTCAATACCAAACATTCTCTCAGCCCCAACAGACTCAGTATGAATCTCAAACTCAACCGAGTGTGCATCAACAGACACAATACCAGCCAAGACCAATGCAGAACCAGTATCAATCATCAACTGCTCAAGCTCAAACACCACAGTCAGGTTCAATATTTCAATATGGAGCCCCGGTCTCACAATCTCAATTATCTTATCAACCATCAGTAGGTCAGAACGTGCAACAAATTTACCGTCCCTTATACGATTCTTCTTCGGACACAAAAGTGAATGAAACCTGCCGAATTCATACAATCAAGCTTGGTGACACTTGCTTTGATATCTGGTCAGCTAACGGAATGACGCAATTGGAATTTTCTCGATTGAACCCTAATGTGAACTGTCAAACATTACAACTCGGCCAACAAGTATGTACAGATCCTAATACTTTACGCCCTGGACAATACCGCGATGATGCATCCTGCCAAAAGCTATACTCAATCAAAGCCGGAGACACATGTGCTAACCTTTGGCAGACTAATGGTATAACAGAAGAACACTTCATGCAAAGAAATTCAGGAATCAACTGCAATAACTTACAAATTGGTCAAGATGTTTGTCTTTCCTAACAACTTCCTCTTGATAACGCATTGATATTATTCACGGGTTATGCTTATAATAAAAGAATTCTTTGATTATCTTTTTCTCAATCGACTCAAAACATAGAGTATAGTATCACATAAGAGTCTTTGCCATTCGCCTCGTTCGAAAGAATAGAATCTGATCGACTAAATGAATAATAATAGCAATTTCTGTTTGTAAACAGTGCTTTTTGTAAATATAAAATGATTAGCATAATATCTGAATGAACACGTCGAATATATTTTAAAGATCAACCATTACTACTACGCCCTGTAATCTACAGAGACACTGATAAGGCCCAGATTCACTGATTTATTTCAATTTTAACTCTCTATTAACTGTCTTTTGAAGTTCAAATTATTTGTGAAAACTTTAATATTTGTAAGCTTAAATAGAAACACGACCGTTCGTACACTTTCGGAAAGAAAGAACATCAGAATTTCGTGTGAGGTGTAAACTGACGTGATAGACGTGACCCGCATAAATCTCGAACAATTGCCATTTGCATAGATATTTTTTCAAAAAAAACTTTACGAAGTCCTAAGAAATAGCAAACTTTGTGACAAATGAAAGAAACATCTGATGAATAATGTTTAGAAAAAGAGAAGTTCCACTATAAAAGGACAAAGAAAGGAAGTGTTATCTAGCAAGCTGTTCGATGATGAGCCAAATGGTGGCTGAAAGAAAAATTGTTAGAGAAAATGGAATATCGTGAGTTAATATACAATTTGTATATATATGCATATGAAAGAATATATAAACTTCAGTTGTACATATAATCTTATTAATTTCATTAATGGAATGATAGGTCCTGGTTGCTTCTCAGTAGCCATGGCTTTCAAACAAGGAGGTCTTTGGGTAAGAGCTTGTTGATTATGAATAGACTTCCATGATGCTTAGACTGCTTTCTTCCTTGTTTTCTTCATTGGGACAATCAGTACTTTAGCTATGCAGAAGGTTGTCATGTGTTCGCAGTATCTATGTAGAATGTTAACACATTCAGACTTCCTGTAAGTAACATGAGTATGTTTAAGAACTGAGTATGAGTATCTTGACTATGGTAACATGGCAGCAGTCGGCTTCAAGAATAGTTTTCAAATTTTCTCTAAATATCATAACATAGCTAAGTAATTATCATAAAAAAACTCTAAACGTTCTCAAAATCTACAATTCAGATATTTCGTGAATGGATGCTTGATAGCTTTCCAGATCGGAGTTGCAAGTGTCTCTTATGTTTTTGTAATTGAACATATACAACAGATACTTGCTTACTTCAACGTTGGATCTCATTTAAGTACTACTGATTTGTTCTTGCTCTATACTATACCTGCTACTCTGATTAACTTCGTGCGGAACATACGAACTGTTACTTTCATCTGCTTGGTTGGAAACGTCTTTATATTCCTGAGTATTGCAATGATTCTACAAGTTGTTTTCTAGTTTTGAGTTACATAGAGCTTATGAATTCAGGAGTTATTCACTTCTTCATGGCAATGGAAATCTTTACCAGTTTTTACATCATTTGATGGACTTGTCAATTGTGCTGGATCTCTATTGTACTCATTCGAAGGACAAGCCATGGTTTGTTTCCGAATGATTGATGAGAAACTTCTTATTCTAAGGTTTTGCCGTTGGAAAATAAATTGAGACATCCGCAAGACATGATAGGATTCACAGGCGTTCTATCTACAGGTAGCAAATTATAAATGAAAGAGACATTACATGAATTCTGAAAAAGGAATGAGCCTTGTTTCCATTGTCTACACATACTGTGGGTTCTTCGGATACATAACATATGGTCAAGATGTCCAAGGAAGTATAACATTAAACTTGCCGGATACAACGTAACCCATTTATATATTTTGAAATCGAAGTTGTAAAAAGGAATTTCCAGTGAAAATGTAATTATAAAGATCTTGTTGGTCTTTGTCGTTTTCTTCGGAAACGTTCTTCAAATTTATGTGATTGTGGAAATGATGTGGCCTACGATGGAAACAAGTTTGATTGAAAGGAAATGCTCGAAGTGGATTGTGATGGGTTCTGAGTATGTTTTCAGGATCGTTACAGTATTGGTGCCAAGTAATAGATTAATAGTTAATGAGATGAGACTAATTATGCTAATTATAGTGTCACTATCAATGCTCATACCCAGGTTGCAGGATATAATTCCATTTATAGGAATAACTGCTGGAATGTTGTTATCATGGATTATTCCATCAGTCATGAGCACATGTGTTTTTCTTCCAAAATTCATTAAAGAACAAAAACATTTATTTTATAAGATTGGCTTTGTTTCACAAAATATTTTCTTTTTTGTTATTGGATGGTTCTTTCTGATATCTGGATTACAAGCCAATATATCGGCTATCATCAATAATAAAATTTAAATATTAATAAATCATGAAATCTGAGCAGAATAAAAAGAATTTTTTTTTCATAATATCATTAACGAAAGCTTGTCATATCAAGTTTGATAAGGAAATGACATTTTATATGCTCATTCACGCCCGATAGACTTTTTCTTATTTGATTCGCCTACATTTCTTAAATTATCTTTATTTACTATTACCTCTTGTTTGTTCGCTCTTTTCCCTTTCGTTTCATCTTTTGACAACCTTTACTTGCACTCTCATCAAGCCTTACACACTCATTAAGCTTTATATCATAGATATGTCTCCTAAAATTGCCATAATTGGTGCTGGAATTGCTGGACTATCCGCTGCTAAACGTCTCACCGAATTGGGATTTTCGGATTATCAAGTATTCGAAGGTTCAGATAGAATTGGCGGAAGAATTCATCCAATCCCTTATCGTTAGTGTTCAATACTGAGTTTTTCTACTTGTTATTCTATCAGATGGAGGATATTTGCAAATGGGAGCTCAATTCATCAATGGAACTGATAATCCTATTTATGAAATAGCTCAGAGGGTTGGAGTGTTATCAGATCCTGTGTCAGACACAGCTCATTTCGATGAAGCCGAGTTCCTTGTAGGAAATCAGCCAGTTGACCCGTAAAATATCTATTGTCTTTGCTTTTCAATCTGTACATATGTTAAGGAAGGATATAGAGCTGTTCAAGAAGTTTGTTGAACCATTAGATGGACGGTATAGGGAGTTTTCAGCCAATTACACCATTATGGGTATTGCTTATACTTTCCATGACCTCTTCATGGAAGATTATGAGCGCTTTTTGATAGTATGTTTATTGCTTGATTAGATATTTGAGATATTTTTAGGAAAATAATATAAATGGCAGAAGAAAAGATGTTTTCGATGCTTTGACAAGATCGTATAGGTCCTACTGGGAGTTTGAATGGGCTGCAGATTGGAAGAACGTAAGCTTACCATGAGATTTTCGAACATCTAACTAGAAGTACTTTTGTAGCTTAGTTTGAGTGTTCTTAAACATTGGAATGATGGTGGTCCAACATGTGAATCTTTCACAACAAATGAAATAGGATACAAGGTGAGCTTAGCTCATTGAACGTGAGGAATTGTAATTGTTAAGGCTATTCTTGATGATATCATGTCTTCCATACCTCAAAATGTATTTCATTTCAATACAACTGTGAAGACCATTGATTATGCAGATGATAAAATAGTTTTGACGACAAAAGAAGGAGAATATCCACAGAAGTTCGATCATGTTATTGTAACATGCTCGTTAGGACATTTGAAAAGATTTCACAGAATTCTATTCAATCCTGTACTTCCAGCGTATAAGCAAGAGGCTATCGAGAAAATAGGTATTATGAGCCTTTTAAGACATTTTTGTAATATTCTCTCAGGTTTTGGTGAATCGTCTAAGATATTCTTCCGATGGGAGAAACCATTCTGGAAACCAGATACTTTCTCATTAGCCCCGTTGCCAGTGAGAGGCTTAGCAAGGAAACATATCTCTCCGTTTGAAAGAGAAATCACAACTTTACAGGTTAGGAAGTATTTCATTGCCGAAGAATGAACAAAAATGCACGAACGCGGAACTATTTCACGTTTCTCTTTTTTAAGGTTGTCTCGTGGGAACCAAATACATTGATGGCTTGGGTTGCAGGAGAAGGAAACGCTGTAATGAATTTTCACTTGAAAGGAAGATTTCATTTAGAAACATTTCCAGATAATCGATCAAATGGAAACAGAAGAAATCAAAGAGAAGATTACAAAACTGATTAGAGATATGATGAATGATCAATCTATAGACCCTCCTTCTGAAATTGTAAGGTCAGAGAACATTTAGAAAACCCAGAAGAAGATTCTTTCAGAACACAATTAACGAAAAATGACCTTCTTTGTGGATCATATTCATACTTGAGCAGAGCACAGGCAGAAGCTGGCTTCACAACAGAATATTTGGCTCGCCCGATTAGCTCCAACGGAAGATCTAAGATTTTGTTCGCGGGAGAAGCAACTCATGATAGGTAAGAATATTTGTTCTGCCTTTTAATCACTTATCATTCTTCAGATTATTTCAAACAGCAATAGGTGCTTATCTAAGTGGAATTAGAGAGGCTGAGCGAATTAAAAAAGAAAATGCAATCAAGAGTCATTTGTGATTAACGATAAGTTGAAAGAATGAAAACCTTGAATATATTACTGCAAACAGAATAAAAACCAACCGCTCTACATTGGTCTGATGAAGAATGAATTCATTGAATTTTCATTCCGTCATTCTTCAATTCATGTGAGCGGTCGTCTATACATGAGAGTCAAATGAGAACAACATCATACGTCATAACATTTATCAAACTGTCAAACAGATAATTATAACAAATCAATGCTGAAAATGTTGAAGTTTATGTACAGAAAACGTTTAAAGTAGTAGTAGTCATTGCACATGAGTAAAAACTGATTATTCTCGTGAAAAGTCGAGCAAATTCACACGAGATTCAAAAGGATAAGATCATTATTAGTGAAAGATTTCTTATGAAACAAACTCGTTCAAGCACAAACTTCAAGCTAAAAAAAAACTTTAAAACCTTAAAAGGTTTAAAAGAAGTTAAGGCACATACACACACATACTTGGTTGTGAGTAGAGAGTAGAACTTATCTAGCGCGCTTTGTTCAACTAATAAATAGCCAAGATAAAAACTCTGCGAGGTAGGATGTACGTTCAAAATCCTTGATTTTTTTAATTAAAAATTATTATTAGTAAACATTCACAGGAAATTATGATTCCTAAAGCTTTTGTCTAAGAAGTCAGGCAATTTAGGTTAGGAAACTTATTATTAGAGATAGTAAGTGGCTTTCTTGATTATGATCTCAAGCATGGGCCTGATCTGGGAGAAACTTAACGACAATAATGGCGATTCACGATCTTTTTGCATGTTTTGCATTTGACTTCGCAACACCAGATGAACTTGCATTCGCAAGGCTCATCGACTATTTCACGAACAATATTGAATCCTAAAATGATGAACAATACTCCCAGCTTTTCGTTTAAAAACTAACCTCTACCACAGCAGATCTGATCACAGTGGTCTCCACATTCTCTTCCTCGAGTAGTTGCAGCACCATTGTACTCTAACTTGCAGTAATCAGGGGAAGGGTCGAGAAAGATGAGGTCGTTCTTTACAACCTGCAAAAAAAAGTTATGTAACATATACAGTCTGTGAAGAAGTTGAGTCTTACCTGGGTCTTTTCAACTTCTTTGAGGTATCTCTCAGATCTGCCTTTCTCTGACACTGGGGCTCTAACCATCAAAGTAGAGCTATCAGGGTCGGCAGTAACTTGTTGAGCTAGCTCATATTTTTCACGAAGCATAGTAGCGAATTGGTCAAATCTGAATACCATACTCTTAAATATTGAGAATTGCAAACTTTCTTACCTGGGAACAACTTTCCAGCAAGTCTTGGTAACACAGCTTCCACTAACACCATGACATTTGCACTGTTTTTGCATACCCAATGCCAATAAGCGTCTTCCTACTCGATTGTTATGAAGATTCATAAGCGCTCTAGAACCAATAAAGTAAAGATATTTAAAATTCTGATGGCAACCTCGAGTCCTTTTGGACTTTGTCGACGGTATCAATGAATTTTCTTCCAAAGGAGTTGCCGTATCGTACATTATCCGAGCATCCAGCCCACACAAAATTTCTCCCAGTAAGCGTAGGCATTGGTCCACATCCACAGTCTTCGATTTCGCCCTGAATACATATATATGATGATGGCACAGGATTACAATAGAAATCATAAAATTTTTATGAATAGAAAAAGGTCATATATTAGGATCACAAAAATGGTATCAGGTCAATCATTAGTAATAAAAGGTACCTTAGCACAAGCCTTGGCCAAGGCATGACTCACACCAGCTGAGGATATGGCATAAACATAGGCAGATTCTTTTGATGCCACTGAAAATTCAAAAATAAAACTAATAACTTATTTTAAAAACAAGTACTCTCTGATGGTGACATTCCTTGTCCTGGAGCAATTACGGTACAATTCCAAACATGATTTCTGAATGTTTCTTGGCATTCATCCATAGCCATGCGTAATCCTTCCACTACGTGTTTCATAGCTAATGGGTTACGTATACAAATTTCTCTTTGGCGATTGGACATTCCAGGCGTCATAGCACATGCTGATGCCAATGTTCTCCCGGTAAATCTTTCTTTTTTAGCTTCCGATAACAACCTGAAAAATCAAAATTGATTGAAGGAAAAAGAATAGACGGCTATTGCATATCCTCTTTTACAATGATTGACAAGAACTTCCGCCTTTGACCCTAGCCTGTGCCGTCATCACCACATTCTAACAGGGTTATGAGGGATCGTGGCGAAACAGTCATAAATCTCGGTATTTGCAAAGAAACAATATTCTGCCAACAACACATGTTATAGATCAATTAGGACCCGGAGGCTAGCCATCTCCTTTTCCGTACATGGTAATAAAACTGTTGCATAGGTCATGGATGAGAGAAGGATAGACAAAATGCCGAAAGCCGTAAATATTCAATATTTCCATACCATAAATAGATAGGAACATCCACAAATGGTAACCAGAAGGTACACTTGATTCTGACATGGCAACAGAAATAGCCTAAGACGATTGTTCTAAGCTTATCTATCTTTCAGGAAAACATCTTATCTGATTTTTTGAGGAACAGTTGCAAGCGCATTCCTTTTCAAAATTAATCATCATAAAATATATTCCTCATAGGTAGAGGAGTGATTGACGTCGGCAAAATATCAAAGACAAACGAGCAACTCAAGTAAACTTCTGATATCTCACGCGATCAAGTACGAGCTTGTGAACATACTCAAGACTCTCTTACTTTCTTCAAGAACATAATTTCATCTTCGAAAAAGTGCAACTATAACAAAAGAGATGACTAAGGGTTATGAGTAAGGAACATAAATCTCCAGACAACTGGATCGCGATTCTCAGCAACAGGAAGCAAACGTATTTCATGTTCAAAATATTCGAGAATAACTTACAGCCAAGCATATCCTATTGAGAAAAGTTGGATAAGCAATACAATTCTTAACATTGCGTGTAGTGCGACTTCTGTAAAATAAATAAAATTAAAAAGAAAAGATGAAATGTAACAAGTCAGACATGCATATCAATCTATACGGATATAGGGTTACAATGATAATAGTAAGACAGTTCTTTTTTTTAAACGTAGAAGGAGATCATAGGAGATCATACGACAGTCGGTGTATGTGAATGACTGACCTCTAGTCCAGTATTGTATTTGTTGTTCAAGACTTGTTCAATCCCAAAGTGGGCGGGGTTTAAGCATCTTGCCAGTGGAACATTCGCCTGTTACTGGATATGTTTTATTACATATCACATAGGATATTGCTGGGAAGACGGATAAGGCTGATGATCACTATGTTCACAATTCCAAGGTTCACTTGAAAACGCTGTGAAACCAAAATTTCATGGGAAGAAATAAATTAAATCACAATTATTAAATTTATTACTCTGAATATTACAATATAGTTAAGATTTTGAAATCTCACACATGCATATATACTTAACGTCATTGTTCTTCAATTTTAAAGACATACATCCTAGCAAAGTTTCTAGTTGTTTGTTGAATAACTGCATCTACAGATAAGCCTCTTTCCATCGCCAGAAATTCAGCAACAGATATTGCTAAAGTTCAGAACTTGTACAATTTCATAAAAGTGCTACTCACCCATTCCTGGTAAAGCAACAGAACCCGTTTGAACATTAGAAAACTTAAAAATGTGAGGTAGCAAGGTGACCATGAGAGGAACTAACTGATTGAGGCTTGAAGTACGGAGCGTCTGTTTCGAGCAAAATCCGTTCCAATGGAATTTTTCTTAGAGCTTCCATTTCTTCGCTCTTGGCACCGAAATTACAACAGCCACTAGTATATCCTAAATATGCATCACTCCACTATCGATCAGTGCGCACTCACCAAAATATATATTGGGAAAATAAGACATCCACTTTTGGGCAGTCTCCCAGCTGCCGGTGAAACAGTGTCTATGGATGTTGTGAAACCGCGATAAGCTCTACGAGAATGTTAAATCAACTAATACTTTTTGTTTTCACCTTTTCGGAGGCTAATACTCTCAAGCAAGGTTCCTCAGCATCTACACTTCCAGATCTATGAAATATTATCTTTTACAAGAAATTCCAAAATTGAACCTGCAGTGTATCACCAGGGGGAGGTTAAATCGCACAGCTACCAGGATTTGACGTTGCAACGCCTTTACTTGATCTGCGAACGATTCAGTTGATCTTAAGAAGAAATAAGATAACTATAAAACAGTTACAACCTGTAAAAATCAAGTCCACATTCCCCTATTGCCTTTACTTTATAAGTACCAAAATCTTCACAAAACAACTCGATAGTTCGTATAAACTCTTCGGTGCACATACTGGCAAATCTTGGATGACATCCGAAAGCACATCCTACAACCAATGGATTCTACAAGACATTTTCTTAATAAACGAAATTCTAACGTATATTATACCTGTATTTCACTTTTAATCCACTCAATGTCATAAGTATCAGATTTCAAACTCTCGACAAACAGTTCGGGATCGATGAAATTAGGAAAACAACCTGGAATTACAAGAACAAATACTCTTTGGAATATGAAAAGAAAAAACCTCCAAAGCCATCGGGGAAAGCTTCCGGGTATTTCTTTTTCCAATAATTCAGATTTCCTGAAACTTTTTTCAGTTTGTTGAAAATATAATCTAAATGGCAATGGCTGTCATAGAATTTGCTGGCTCGAAGAACCTGAAAAGTTTTTTTTTTCAATCATCTTTGAAACTGACCATTTGCTCGTTGTCATTCTTCAATTGATAGAAACGGTAGAATGGAACGCATAAGTTCAACTTTTCAAGAAGCTCCTCAGATTTTTCTCTCGAGTCCTGCTTAGCTGTTGAAACACTTTTCTGGAACTGACTGAGTTTGGAAGAATGGACAGCTAATTTACTAATTCATTCTCGCAGCAACCTGTTCGTTGAAAACGTTTATTTTTTTTTCCTAATGACTCATCACTTTTCTGCAAAGATTTACAACTTCTGAATGAGGCATACATGAGCAGAAAAGTGTCTTTAAGAAATTACGTTATTCGTGGGTGCTTCCTGTTGCCCGAGCCCAGCACAGGACTTACAGCTGTTGTAGTAGCAACACATCGAGATGAAGATAGCTAAGAGTAGATAATAGTAATTAGTATAATTGAATCACTCACTTTTTCAATGTTTTTCTCGGTATCGTCATTTTTGATCAGAAGCTTCCGTGTAGTAGCAAATGTGTGTGGAAGCTTGCCAGTCCTAAGTAGGAATATATATGAAATTTTCTTATGTACAAACTTTCGTTCACCAGAGATCGGCTTCAGGGCCACACTCAAGAGTCTTGAGTCAACTAAAGCTCTTTTTCTAATCGGGTGTTCGTTATCAGATTGAGAACTATCGAGAGAACTTTTACTTACTGTAAGTAAGTACAAGGCTGAATGAATGGCATTATAAATTACCTGAAAATTCAGACAATGAATCATTGGAGTCAAAGTTATCTTCGTTGGGCCGAGCCAAGGTTATCCTCTTAGCTATCGCTCTAGAACTAAAAGCAAAATTTCCTACAACAAAAAAATGTGAATAACCCTCTCCGAGCCGGAAACATTGCTTGTGCCGTGTTAGGAATAACAGTAATCCTTCTATGGTTTTGAAAGCCTTTCGATCCACGTTCAACACTTTCCGAAGGCGTAGAACTAGTGTCGAATACAATAGGTTTTCTGGTTTTGTTGTCGCTACGATATATGGAGCTTTTAGTGAACAACTGAGAGTAAAAAACAAGCATAGGTTCTTTGAAGTAAAGAGAAATCAAACCTTTTCCAATTTAGACACGATGATCACCTTAAAAATAAATTTTGAGAATAGAATAGTTGTGTTGGCTAAGTTGAAAGGTTAATTAGGGCAGAGCCGTGACCTTCTTGATTTAGTTGTTTGAATAAATTGCGAAACTAACGTTTTTACTATCATTTTTTTCGAAACAAGTCCTCGATGAGAAAAAGCCCGCCATTTGTATCGTTCACGCATAAAAATTAGGAAATTATCGAGTTTTAAGCATATTACGAGTAAGAGTTGATATAACGGAGAGCATGGATTGAGAACGTATTGTAAAGTATACATTTTTTAATCCTAAATGGAGGTTTTTTCGTCCGTACAGATCGCAGATATGTGGTGTACATCGATACAAAAACTACAAATAGACTACGTTTCACGTTTGGTTACTACCTTGTACAATATTTTCGAATTATTTTCTATGCTCTCCAATCATTTCGAGTTATGTTGTTTTATTAGTTTCAAGATTTTCCGGACTTTTGGCATAGAAGTCTCCATTTTCTTAACGGACCTTGCTCTTCATGATGCCCTGAGCATCTTTTAACATTAGACGGTAAACCATGAAGAAACTTACCGATTTATGATCCTTCGATGATCATTTCCGAACGCATTCGGTTATATATAAACAAGGCAAAAATGAAATAGTTTTTTCGTCACCCTGTATCTAAATGTTAATAGATCGTGCAACACTATTTCATTCTTCCTTCACATTTTCCTGAGTGGTTGTGCATATGAGTTTTCATCTCAATTTTCTATCCTCTTTCCAAGCTGCGAGCATAACGAATGTTCTTTGAACTTAAATGTTACTTGTCTGGTGAGGTAGTTCGATACATGACCGTGGTGTATTTGATGTTTACTACGGTACAGCTACCGTTTCCAACAATTATCGATTTTGGGAATTATGGTTGTGTGGGGTTAATTTCCAAACTTTGTTTTGTTGTTTTCCTCTCTTTGGTGTTTATTGTTTAAGTTAGTTTAATCTTGTTAAAATAATATTTCTATAGCTCTTGAAAGTATTTTTTTATCAGAAAAGTTTCGATGTTTGATAGATTCGCCTTTCGTAGTTTGTAAGTTCGTGTGTACTCATGAGCTGTCTTCGTATATCTGTATCTTTTCGAATTATGAGGTCACACATACGTAAGAGAAAGAGAAAGAGAGAGAGAGCACGGATTTGCACATATCTTTCCCATGTTTTCGTGATTTTTTATTTTAATTTTATTAGTATGATCTAACTATCTAACATATGATATCTGATACTTGCATTAATCGTTTAACCTGTTGGCAGTATGCTTATCAAACTGACTGTTCAGATATGAGTTATGTTGGGAAACGACATCTCTATTGCTCTTCTCTTCACATTTGTCTTACCTTTCTGTTCCTGGTAATTTACATGAGCAATGAGACTTGTAGGCAATTATAGTGTTGAGTACCTACTTCTTCAAGTTATCATTGCATTGATCCTGTTACGACGTATGTGTTACAATTTATTTTGCGAATACTGTTTCCTCGTATATGATAAACTTTCAGTGCTCAACAAAAATCTTGACTGTCTGACATGAGCCTGACAATCTGTTCAGACGTTGCATATTTATGTGAATCAATCTCATAGCAACATGAGTATCAAACTAATTGTTCAACTATGGATCTCTTGGTTCATTCTTTATTGTTTCTCTACAGCAGTATTTCCATCATTTCACTTCATTCAATACCAATTCTATGTCAACTACACGTTCTATTTTCCTCCGGTTTCTCAAATCAAGATGGGCGAGGAAGAATGAAACGATGGATTATATTAAAAGCGATATCCGCTCCATACTTGGGAAGGTTTGGTAGTTTTGTTTCGTACATAAGAGTAACTCTGTTAAGAGCTTCTATCAAGAACGTTGTTTCAGCTCGGCAATATGTCAGCAAATCAAATCTTCACTCAAGGCTGAAATATTGTTTTAAATGTTCGAAAATTATCAAGTTTGTTTGATAGACAAGAAAATTATCATTTTAGCATCATTCATTCAGAATCCATTGATCGTGTTGACCAATTGTCATTCGACACCACTTGGACTGCTTGTGTCAGTAGATGTGTTCAGCTTCTCTTTCTTTCCGTTTTAACGGTGCCTGTGCACAATCTTCAACGATCCCCAGCCCGTTTCTCTCTTCGAACTGGCAACTGAATAGGATATCTTTTATGAATTTTTATAAATGTGCTCTTCAACGTTATTCACCGGGAACAATAGAATTCGATTTCAGACAGAATCCTTGAATGGCGCTTTTCTTTCATAAAAACTGCGCGTTCGATTATAACCCTCTCCCAACCGTGCATCTCCTGTGTTCACAGCAGTCATAACCGTAACCCTCTGCGCTTCTCTCTGTTTCTGAAGAGAATTCGACTCTGAACTTCCATAGAACTATTTTAAAATGTAATTAAAAGGTTTTTAATCTAATAAAACTTGATTATACCATATATGCACGAAATACAAAACGTACGATGTACGGGGCGGAAGTCTATA